GAAATACTGAGGAGTGAGGACCTTGTCTTTGCCTCATGAAAATTTTGGAGAATTTTGTTGGCTAAAGAGTGAGCAAAGTTGGCCTGATTTTGTTTCGCATGTTTTTCTGCACTTAAGGTCCCAGTCTGGATTTTGAGCAGCAAATGATCCTATGAAGTATTATACCTTTAAACACTGCATGGGTTGCAACTTTTCGACCTAGTTTCTGGCGTACATGTACATGTAACTAGACCTTTTAATTAGATGATCCCATCAAGTGACGTGTCATATCTATTGATTAGAAATTATGTATTCAACTTGTGCCAGCAGTACATGCAGAATTTGTCTATTGTGGGAAGGCTCACAAGATTTTTTTGACTTGCAGGCAACGACATTTATAAAACCAAATTGGGTTGGGGTGTTTGGTGGGTGTTTAGGCGGGGAGCTGGACCTCATCTGAGGCTAGGGGTTGGGTCATCTCTGAATAAAAATCAAAAATTAAAATGTACATTTTTATGCGATATTTGGATAGGTTAATTAAAGTTTTACATGTACATTGCAGTAAAGTCTAGCGAATGGAATAAACAAAACAAACCTAACCCATTAGCCATTGTACTACATTGTTTGTATTCACTGAAGAATCAATAACACCATAGAGTGCCTTGGCACTTTTGGGCGCTACAGTGAGTAACACTGTAGGCATGGAGGTATCAGGCGCTACAGTGACTAAAAGGTAAACATTATCAAAGGCTATGGGCTCAAGTACCCCATCAACGGCCAAAAAAGAAGAGTTGGGGTGGCCTAGACTGGTTCCTGATTCATCCACTGCGTATTTTGAATGTATCCAAACTTACTGGAGGCGGGGATTAGTCTCGGAGACCATCGCGAGTTGAATTTGAACGTATTCGTGCGCCGACGACACCTGATGCGCACGCGAAGACGCGGTGGCTATAACTTTTGCATATTCAGGAAGTCGTGTGTACTTCGCGCACGAACCAGTACAGTACAGTACAGTACGCGAAGTATGTCCCGTCCATGGAGCTCTCAAAAGAGGTAAAAATACGCCCTCTTTTGTTGGCGCACGGAGCCCTGTTAGCCATAGAAAGAGTAAAATACCCATCAGGTATTACAAAATTCCAAAAGTAAAAAAATGGAGGTTCACTACACTCAAGGCAAGTATGACAAGAGCAGTTGCATTACCAGCTCACCACGGGGCGTATTCGAAACCATGTTCCCTTGTGTAATGAACACCAGAACGGATTTCAAATGATGAGAACAAATTACGAAAACAGTGTTCGCAACACTATTTTTCTCCCCACTTATTGAGAATTAAATGAGGATGTCAAGAACAGAGACAGCGGACTTACCGCAAATTACGTTAGCTTTTTGTGCATAAAATTGAAAACACTCATTCAGTGAGGCTTTTCTTGCCAATTTCTATGTTCTGGGATTTCAATTATTTTTATAAGATCATTAGTTTTTCCTTCTTTTCATGCAGCGTTTTAATACGGTTGTTAGCTCCATTCCATACATTCTGGAATTTGTATCTGTTGTGCCCATTCTTGAAAATCACGCATTCTCGAGAATGGGCATGCACATTCTTGAGAATGTGCAACTGGATCCTTGCTCAATCTTGGCAAAAAATAACTCTTCCAGATTGAGCGCACATTCTTGAGAATGCGCGACAAGATAACGGTCTTGTCGATGCCGAGCACCGGCTGCGCTTGGCAAGTCTAGCTGAATCCTCGTTCACTGATTCTCAATAATTATACTGTTGCAACGCAAGGCGCTGAAAAGTAGAGTGGATATGATAAGTAAAGGCGTATTGATATAATAATTGATATAATAATACTAGTGCAAAGAATTCTGATTTTTGGGATAATAAAAGCGAGGGGGGGGGGGGACGTAAGAATGAAGAATGTGAAGAATGGGAATGAATACTGCGACATCCCATAGTGCTGATGCTATTTCCCATTTAAATTACCACCAATTTATTGTTCACATCCCACCATAACGTCGCAGAGCTGGATTCTATCTAGTCAAAAGAGCAATTTTGGCAGCTTCTGGACATCGTTTGTTTTTCGTGGCATGCATATGATACATGCAGGGACTTGTAACTTGTCTAGCCTAAACAAAGCACTTCCCAGACTAGTTCCCAGTTCTCCGTTATTACAAAACTTCCCATAGTGGGCAGAAAAAAGCAATAATAACAGGTTTAATTTGATTCAAATTATCGTAGTTATACGAGTACAGAAGCATAGCACATTTTCTTTCCTCTTTATATGAATTGTTTCCCTTTTAACCGCTATACAATTCATTTAACATAATTATGTTGTGCAATGTTTGTTAAGATTGGGCAAAATTCATAAATTGTGCACGTGATATTCCCACCCAATCTTAAGAATGAGCGCTCATTCTTAAGAACGCGTGCTCGTTCTTAAGAATGGGCGCTCATTCTTAAGAATGCGCGCCCATTCTTGAGAATGTGCATGCCCATTCTCGAGAATGCGTGATTTTCAAGAATGGGCACAACATATCCTTGTGGAGTAATTTCTTTGTTCTCGTGTACTAAAGATTTCGAGTTTGAAAGTGTAGTTCAAAATGCTCCTATTTTAACCAGAATTAATTTCCTGGGCTGAAATTCGGACTTATATATCTCTTACATAAAATACTTAATTTTGCGACAGATCAACACACCTTGGAAATTCCTAGTTTTTGAGTAAAATCCATATGTCTATTTCGTGATAACCTTGTGGAGACGTATTCAATCTTTTGTTCCCTATTAATATTATACCCATGTCTCCACAGGGTACCGTGTAACAGATCGTATGCACTTGGGCGTTCGTAACCAGCAACTTGAGAACACTGTTCGTGGGTCACTCGGGACCTGAATACACCCACGATCTCTGAGTGTGAAACTGAAAACAGGAGTTATTGCAATCGAAAGAATATGGCAGTGTAGGCCTATATTTAGCCGGCTCTGACTTTCTTTAAGTAAACAATATTTTGCCCGATAGGCAAAATATTGGGACTTAAAAATTTTTACCGTGACAAATCTTAGTCTGGTTCTGCCCCAATATTGTCGTTGTGACTTCGTATTCACGAGACGGGAATCAGACCATTTTAAAATTTCGGACTTTATTTCTCTTTGAAAAAAATCCTCCAGATTCAGATCAGCAAAAGAAAATGTAATAGTACTCTGTAATTAAATGTTAAAGTCAATTTAAAATAATAAAAGAACAATATTCTTATTGATAGTGGATATATTGCCAGCGGTAATCCCGGCAAGCTAACATTTACTAAAGGTTTGCCGGCGGCAATCCCTATCAACAGAGGGCGCTGTACTCTCTAAGATAGGGCTGAATTATAAGATATATTAAATTACCACCAACGGTTGTGTAGCTCCTGTGGCCTAGTGGATAAGCAACGGATCTCATGAGCGGGAAGATCCGGGTTCGATCCCCACTGGGGACATTTCTAAGGTTTTTCCCCACCCCAAAAATAAGAATATTCTTCTTTTATTATTTTAACATGTCCCAAACATTTTATTGCAGAGTAGGCCTACTATTACATTTTCTTTTTCAGATTTGTGGCTCTGGAGGATTTTTTTAAAGGGAAAAGGGAAAAAAACCGGAAATAAAGTCCGAAATTGTAAAATGGTCTGATTCCCATCTTGTGAATATGAAGTTACAATGATAATGGTGGCATGGAGCCAGACTAAAATTTGTCACCGGAAAATGTCTATAAACTTAATAAAGTAAAAAAAAAAGCCAGTAGGCCCTAGCTGCGCATGTTCAGTGCTAGACCCGTGAACGTGGCGTTGTATACACACCACGTTCTTGTTTCATTTCGAACCTGGCGAAATCGATCCGACAGACATAATTCCGTATGGGTGTTGAGTACTCACCTAGAAATCTAAATTTGCCCGTCCGATTGTTTCGGCTGTGTAATTTCGACGAAATTTGCCCATCAGTAAAGACCCATACGAACGTGTAGAAATTAGATTTTAACCTGACCCTGACAAATAACCCCGGACGCGTCTGAGTCGCTTGGACAGATTGACGGCTGTTTCATGTCGCAACCCCGAAAAAAAAACCCCGCAGACGATTGGCTGCTCGGCTCATCTCGTGTACAGTACGTGTGTGCACACAAACGCGGGCGCACGTGCGACCGCGTGCGGTGTGGTGCGGTGAGAGAGGAAAGGACTTGAAACTTGTCTAAAACGATGTCTGTTTTAGCTGCGACAGTAAACAGCCGTCAATCATACGAAAATAAAACGCAATGCGCGTGCGTCAGTTGGGAGAAAATGGCAGCTAGCAGTAGCGGACGGACTTCATGAACCGGGGCAAGAATTTTCCTCAATTTTCGTCAAATGCAAGTTTTGACGTACAAATAGAATTCAAGACAGCTTCATATGTGAGTACTTATTACATAGGCAAAATAACGTCCAGTGTGTGTAACGGAGGGAGTCAGAGGGACACGTTCGCCAGGTTCGAAATGACATAAGAACGTGGCGTAGTTTACAAGCCACGTTCACGGGTCTAGTTCAGTGCATATCTGGCAAGCCAACGTTTACTAAGGCCTTAGGTTTGCCGTCTCCTGCTAAATATCCACTGCCATTCTGATTCTTATTTTTTGGGGACAAAAAACCCGGCAGCCTTAACTTAGGCTTAAGCCCGCCCTAGGCCCCTAATCCGTAATCGTTTTTTTTCTTCTGAAACTGAAAGAAAGCCGGCTAAAATCTAGCCGGCTAAATATACACTTCCAAAGAATATTGTTTGGGGTCGCACAGGTCACGCTCAGATGATAAAAACACTCAAAAAAGAAAGTGGGGTGTTGGGGTCCTAAACTGCCGGTAACACAAATTCACAATCACCTCGAACTTCTGTGCACAAATCTCCATGACAACTGTCTCTGGCAATCAATATTGTTATATCACGACTACGATTAATCAGCGCAATTAAACGCCAATTTGTGTTTCTCCTAAAACTCCCATGATGAACAGTTGCAATTTTACACACCTGATATCACTGTTCGCCTGTTCTGATGCCATTTGGGAGTTCCTATCAACATCTGTCGTCATTTTTGTAGAAGGTTTCATGACATTTTTAATCGCATCTTTAAAAATTCGTTCAGGTATGCAGACAATCTGGTAACCCCTGTCACTACCGTTCCAATACATTTCATACGAACGGTGGGACCAGTCTTTATTAAGGAAACTGTAGGTGGCGCTATTGCAAAAATTGGAATACGATAAGTTCGCAGCTATAGTACTATACGGCCGAGGTGCCTGCGAAGGTCCAAGGCGGATTTCAGGTGTGATTGCAACCCCCCCCTCCCCCCCCCCCCCTTTAGCGTTCAGCCGCTGCCTAATGATACTAGTAAAATGGGGCAAAAAATTATAAATGGAATGCTGAAAGTTGATATCAAGTTGCCATAGAATGCACTGAGAGAAAACATCGTAGATTAAAAAAAAAAAAAAAATCAGTCCGGGGGCATGCCCAGGACCCCCCCCCTAGTATATGGCGGGGCACGCCTTCACCCAAATAACGCTTTTTTGCGTTATCCCTGCTTTTTCCACTGTATGTATATTACATTTTTTATACGATTTTAGATGTTTTGTTTTGTTAGTTTAACTTATATTGAATTTGTATCATTATTGTGTAGAAATTGAGAATAAATCAAATCAAATCACCGGGGGGGGGGGGGGGCGGCATCGACCGAAGACAAACCCAGATCCAGGCAGAATTGGAACTGTCATTATTATTATTATTATTTATTTATTTATTCATGCCAATTAAAAAAATATATATAATCAAGATGGGCATTGGGTCGAGGACCTGTCATCCCACATCCAGATTTGAAAATTCAAATTCAATATTGCACATTATATAAAACTTTAAAATATAGGCCTAAAACAAGACAAGCAAGGCAAACTGTCCGTGTTGTAATAGACAATGGTTTTTTCAAGGTTAACTTTTGTGGGTGACTTTTGTTTTCTAAAAACTAATGTGAAACTCAACGTTTGTGCGATCTGGATGCTGCAGCACTGGTAGACGCTTCCAATTTACTTTTGCCGTCCACCTCTATGATCCATCCCAAGCCACCCCGGGCCGATGTACTGATGAATTGGGTTTTCAGTTATTGTTTGATTAAATGGGTTTTAAAGGCCTATACCTCAAAATAGGCCTACAGACTTTCCTCGTATGGTATCATATTAACTACGGGGGCATAGAGGAATTAATCCCATGGACGTCGCCAGGATTTTTTTCTAGAGGGGGCAAAACATAATTATTTCCCCCAAAAAATTCCTGTATTTCTCAACATATTCTCGATTTATCAGTTTTAGAGGGGGGCAGGGACATTTTGCCCCCCAACCCATTAAGTTTACACCACTATGATTTCACGCCTCTTTTTCTTTTCCTTTTTCTCTTTTTTTCCCTTCCTTTTGTTGTTGTTGTTTTTTTGCCCCTTGCGATGCCTATGATTAATCCCTCTCCCCGGCCCGAGGCCTTTGACCCTCTTGCGCCAGTTTTGGGAATGAAAAAGTGAACCTTTGAGTCCCCCATCAATAATAATTTCCTCATGCTCCCCGTGCAACTTGGACCAAATTACTAAATTACATCACTGGTTTCCTCAGTCCAACATAATGTACATATTTATCGTCTCCCCCCCCCCCTTCCCCTGGTTTCCCCCACCCAACACACTCATGTTTTGATATAGCCCTATACTGCAGTTTCTTACCAAAATACACAGCTTGGCAAGATATCCAGCGGCCGAGTGTCGGAGGGTGTGTTGTGGGACCACATACCTCTAGATATCCTCGGTATATCGTTGAAACGTTTGAAAGGGTAAATGGTGGAAAATAATTGTTGAGCGAGTAAACCCCCCCCCCAACCCCCCCCCCCCAATCAACCACCAGTTTTTGTCATGATAAATTAAAGATCACAGACGACGGGGTACTTTTTCAGAGTTGCTATTTTGAAACTCTATCAATCTCAGAGTCATTTTCATTCTCGATCATCCACAAGGGCGGATCGGGGGGGGGGGGGGGCGGCAAAGAGGGCCATGCCAAAAAAAACGGAGCCACATTGTTTTTGTTTTTTAGTTTTAGTGACTTCGCAATAAAGGCAGGCAATGAGTACACCACCATCTTTTCCTAAAAAAACACTGGTTAAAGTTATCAGAAATTGCCTCAGATCGCACCACAGAGCATCTAGAATCCAAAAAAAACATTTCGGAGCCCTTTAATAAGCGGGCCCCGAACGCCCACGCCGTAATTTTTTGGGACACACTTTTTGGGTACCAACATTTTTTTGGCCCCCCCCCCCAAAAAAATTGTGTTCTGGATCCGCCCTTGATCATCCAGTTTCTACTTTCAGTGGGTGAAAGAATAAAATTTCACCGCTCAAAAAAAGAAGTTAGATCAGCGGGAGAGTACTTCAGAGGAATAGTATGTCCTACTAAAATGAATGATCAAAATTTAACGAAATATTTACAATTTAGACGGGCGAAAAAAGTGATGGTAATTTGGAGTAATTTTAATCCCCACATCTGCCTTCAGCATGCTTCATATTATTAAAATATAGCGTCAACTGATGTACAACGCCTTTAAGAAAGAATTGATGTCTTTCAAAAATATATATATGTACATGTAATGAGTTTACGTCACCTTCAAAATTGCATTTTGTTCACATAAACATTTCTCATTGAAATCGTTAAATTACTTTGATTTACACCTGTTGAAAGTCGAGTTGAGAGTTATATTATAATACGAAATGTGAGTAGAATGTTCGACACTCTACCATGAGCATGCATGCAGGCCGACGATCTATCCGCCTTTAAACTTTTACCGATATGCTACAAAGCGCAAAAGGTGTGTGGGTGTGTTGCATGCTGTGTTCAAGAGCAACAGGCGGTGAATCACGAAGCGTCGCCTCCCCCACTCGAAGCGGGCGAGGCGAAGCCTCATTGCAGCCAGGCTCTTAACAGGACAACATTTTGAAGCCTTGTACAAAACAAAATGTGTCGGATAAGGCCAAAAAAAGTGTCCGGTTTCTGGTACGTATGCGCGTGCGTCGCCGTAGCAAAATGAAAAAGTTTTTTTGTTCAATGTAAGATGATGTCTCAAAACCGCCAAACTCACTGGTTTGACTGGAATCCTGCTGCTGCAAAATGTTAACGTGTTTTAGATGGGGTTACGGTCGAGTATAAGCTTTATGTGGCCTCTCTGGACTCCCATAATTATATTTTGCACTAAATTTAGTCTGGCACCATTTGAGGTCATCAGCCGACATTTGAAGAAAAAAAGTAACCAAAAAAAACCAAAAAAAAACCAAAAAAACGCGTCGCCGCACCACTTTTGGGGCAAGCTCACCCATACCAGAAACCAGAGACTTTTTTTTGGCCTAACATGCAATGTCAACAAAAGCTGTACCCGGATTTAACAATTAGGGTTAGCAGGAAATGAAAATGAAAATCAGTATCCCCCCCCCAAAAAAAAAAAACCCACAAAATTTAATAGTCTGATTTATCGGCTGGAAATTGAAATGGCTGGATAGATTATGGTGATATGAACAGACACGTTATGGCGAATAGGTTTCCCTGTCAGTTTTCAAGAATGAGATCAGGTGAAAACCGTCAATAATTTGTCAATGTTGTCTTAAGAGTATGTTTGTCTGAATGCTCCGGAATTACTCCTAGGTTCGGCGGGACAGAAATCCACCTCCAAGGCGGAAGGCACCGTTTGCCTCTCCTGAAGATTCGGAGTGGTCCGAACGAACTGTCAACTTCACAACTGTAGAACAACCTTGCTGTGGTTGGTGCGTTGTCATCGTCGTCTGTCTCCTTCAGTGAGGGTGTCTTGAGTAGGTCACAAGTCCACGGCAATCTTCCCTCTTCCGCTAGTCTCCACAAGTCATCGTCAGTGTGGAAACTGGTGTCCTCCAACCCGTATTCCTCCTCGACATTTGCCGCATCGACGTGATGAGCGCCAAGACCTTGATAACCACACTCGTCCTCTTTAACTTCGGTGCCATTAGGGTAGAGTTTTCTCCGTTTGAAATGCTTCGTCTGTCTCCACTGAAGGAGACAGGCTATTTCACTTTCGTTTGTATTCTCTGTCCGTGTACATATTTTCTGTCCATCAGCTTTAAGCAGGCGGTAGATGGAGTCTTCCAAACAACTCGGCTCGTGTTGCAGTCTACTTAGAATTTCTGAGATGCAAGTTTTTCCATCCTTAGTCCTCTTGACGATGGGTGAGCCGGGCGTTGTTTTCCTGGCGAGAGATCGGTGCCGGCCGTTCTTCGGCCGCTGCATTGCTAGGGCCTCAAGAACGTCCAGCAGTTGTTTGCTCACCGTCTCCCCGATTTGGTCAGCGCTATTCAACGCATGTCCATACTCCAAGGTCTGGGTAGCAGCATCCCTCACTGATGCAACATCGAAGAAACTGGGGCGATGGTTCAATGGGTTTCTCTGGCATGAGCACCTCGTCATGTTTGTCTGTGTGCCTCTAGTTTGGCGCAATTTCCGGGTTGCAGCGCAGACCTCGATGACACTCTCGTCCGTATCGCTCTCCGAGGTGGTCGCCCAGCAGTCAGTCCCGATGCCGTCCGCGGTCCGGCCAGCGAACCAGCCCCACGCCGTGACGTCGCCGTCTGAGCGCCTCCTGAGCAATCCGCGGCTGTTGAGATGCTTGCGGCACCGCTCGTCAAACTTTTCCACCGAGCACCTGAGCGAGTCGACCCGGGACAGGAGCGCGGTTCGGTGCTTGGACAGTAATGCGTCAAAGGAACAGCCACCATGTTCCTTTGACAAGAGTGATTCCGATATCTCCATTGCCAAAGATCAACCGATGAGTAGTTTCAACATCGACAATATGGACGAATCAAGAATTTCTTCAATTATTGTATCATAATTTGGACCTAACAGGGTCAGTGGCAGATAATGCATGATGTTACACTAGGCGATGCAAATGAAAATCGTCAGCGTTTTGTTTCGATCCGTGTGTATGTACAAAACACGGACTGCATACCACCCTACCTGTGCAAATATTTATCTCTTGTAAACTTTGACCGCTCATTTTGTCTAGTGGATGGCGGCCGATAATGATCGGATATTCGTACAATATATTTATATCATTTCTAGGACAAAACAAGCTAACATCATCATAATTCCACA